CCCCCCACCCCCGCGTGTGATTAATACAGTTATTTTTTTATGAAAATTTCAGGTTTTTAGGACTCATTATACAGGTAAACATCTGAAGGGGTTGACATGTATGTACAACTAACTTTCAGATATATTTTGGGAGTTGTCTACAAAGTGGAATAATTTCTGTAACCGGGATCAGGACTGTAAATCTGAAAATGCAAATAAAAAATGAGAAGTTCAGTGTTTATTGGCCAAAGTTATAAAGATGTAATTATGTAGTTTTTGCAACATGACAGTTATTACAAGTACTGTATATTGATTAGAATGAACAGAAATACTGGTTTTGATTGTTTATTACATAATGCACCAGATTATTACTCTACCACATTTTGTAATAATTGCAGCAAAAAGTAATAACATTATTGCATAATGCGTTGAAGACTTTTATTACATTTTGTGGCAATTATTACATAATGCAGTTTTAGCGTGAGTTTGTTACATTTTGAAGCCTGATTTTATTGCATTATTACATAATGTGTTGTTATTACAAAATGAGGTCTTACACGCCTCCCTTTGCAGGTGGGGAACGTCTTGGGTTCTCCCAGAAGGAGCTGGAGAGTGTCATTAGGAAGTGGGATGTCTGGGTTTCTTCTCCTGGACCTGCTGTCAGAGTCCTTTCCCTTGTTATGTCATCACTTTTGTGATTTATATAGTGAAAGTAATGCTTCCTGTGTCTCTTGTCTCTCTGTGTTCTTACTGGATTTTACTCATCTGAGGTCATTCTTTCTCCTCCTCCTCGTGGAGAAGCTCCCTGTTGCAGTCTCTCTACCATAACCTGTCAGAGGTACTCGTCTGCTCAGCCTGCCTTTATGAGTCTGCTCTCACTCCACCTGCATTTTTCTCTGCCCACTCACCTGGACCCCTGGAATCGCCTGGTCTTCTGGACTCCAACAAGAACAGTAAGAGGCAGTCTCCTTTCACCAGATTAACTGAGAACATTCAGCTTCCTGGTACAGTTGTGCTAACACTTTCCATTCCCAAATTCACCTCTCCTCCTAATAAAAGCCTTATATTATAAATTATCTTATAAATCCTTTCAGCTCACTGCTCTGAACCCTGGCTCAAAAGTACACAACCTAGTATGGCAGCTGATTCCCAGGTTGATCTGTAGTGAAATAAAGCAGGCAGCTTCAACAAAACAAGCAAAAAGTTTTAGAAAATCTGTGAAACATTTTAAATCATCCCTTAGTTTCCTGACATCCTGTAGTTGGAGCACGAATCCTGATCCAACTGGAAATATCTGGCTGCATGGAATCACCCCATGAATGTTTAACATCAGAGAAAGGTCTGGACTCCTCTCTGTGGATCCATGGGTTCAGTCAATTATCCAAAATGAAATGTAAACCAGAGCAGGCCGAGAGTTGGAGCTATTTATAGATGGAGGAAGTGGAAGCTTTTTTAGTCCTGAACCTAGTTAAAACATGATGTCATAGTTTGGTTGGTCATTTTCTGCTGTTTATTGAACTTCTTTATTTGATTTAAAGAAGAGTGTTTGGTCTGGTTTATGCAACAGTTTAAGTGAAATTAGAGTAAAATTGTTGTATTTAACTGTTCCTGTATGATGACAGAAATCAGATTCATTGACACCAAAAGTTTGAAAAAATTTGTTCAACTCTCAACATTTTTATGTAAAAGCAGTGTTTGAACATGTGCACTATAGACGGCTGCAGTCAATAGTTTTTCTGCGCGAGTCGATGAACAACATTAACCGTAAAGGCTGGTTTATACACTTCAACAAGACATGAGACAACAGTCAGGTTGTAACAAGAAGAGGCTGAAGAGTTGAAGCTGTGAACAGAATGATGCAGTTTTCATCATGAAACTTCGACAGTCTGATCCGATTCAGATCCGGCGGTTCAGCTGGAGCATACTAGGCACTGAAGCACGCTGTTCAAACAAACTAACATTCCCACAAATATCTGACCCCAACACAATATGTGCCACGTAACCTGCAGGACACGGTTCTGACCGGGTGCTACATAAGGCCACTGCAGACAAATGAACCCAAATCTGGTTGTTGTTTTTTTTTTTTTTGCCCAATGTGACCAATGTCAGATTTTTATATGAAAGTCTACGCGCAGCAAATCTTGTAGCTCCACGTCTTCAGCTATAGAACAGAAGTCCAGCTGCTTCGTCTTTGTTCTTACAATTTTCCATGTCCTGGATAACTGAGAATCCACAGAAACATATCATAGTAACGTTGTGGGACCGTGTCAATCCTAAAGTTACTCAATCTATACTTTCCTTTAAGCACGTTGTCATGATCTGTGTTTTTGCTTTCACTTTCCAGTGTTTCTCTGTTCCCCTGTGTGTCTCCAACCCTAACGCACGCTCACCTGTTTCCTCTTGTGTCTCCCCAGGTGTTTCCCATTGTCTCTTAATTTGTTTGCTTTATGTTTCTGAGTCTTGTCTTCAGTCTTAGTCAGTTCATTGTTGAGTGTACTCTGTTCTGTTTGGTGTTCCTGGTCCCTGGAAGTACTTGGAGTTTTTTGAGCTGCCTCGCCAGCCTTTTCTGTTTTATTAAAGCTTTTTGTTCCTGTTTTGAACCTGGCCTGCGCCCTGGGGTTTTCCTGCTCCGATTCGTGTTGCTTCATTCCAAAAATAAAAGGCTTCACCGGAGCGTCCGGTCAGAGGCAGGTTCAGATATAAACACTGAACTAAACAAACATGTCAGATAATTATTTAATTGGCTCTGACTGCACAACAGCTTCAGAATCAACATGCTAACATTTAGCATCCATGTTTAGCTAATTCTGTGAACAGCGAGCTGAATGTGACGTCAGGTCATATTCTGTGCATGTGGGTCGCATCAGGGCCAGAGTCTGATGGAGGTCATATTTAAAATATAACGTGAACGTTCACACCAAAAAAAATCTGATTAAAACAAATCTGAATTGAGCATTAAGGCCTGTAGTGTGAACATAGCCTAACACAGGGGTCTGCAACCTGTGGCTCTGGGGCCACGTGGCTCCTTAGCCCCTCTGCAGTGGCTCTTTGAAAATGTGACCAAATATAACAATAATTTTTTTGTTTTGGTTTTTATATGCACAACAGAAACAGTTTGTATGCAAACATGTGTTCAATACTACCCATAGAAAAAGTAAAACATTAGCTCAGGCTGTTGTTTTCTGAAATATTCCAACTTTTCTATGATCTTTCTCTCAAATCCATCAGAATTACCTTTAAATAATTTGAAGACAGCATAATAATAAGAATTAGAGAAAAATGCATGAATAATTCAGTTGCACTCGTTTTTATGAAATTCAGTAAAAACTGTATTTTTCTCATTTACATAAATATAGTCTTTAATTGTCTGTAGCTGAAGATGTGGAGCTACAAGATTTAAACAGCATGACTCTACACTGAAAAAAAGATTTTTGGGTGCAGTAACATTTATTTAATTATTCTTTTAAAATTTACAAAAAAATATCAAAATCTCTAAACTACTAGAATTTACTAAATAAACAATACGCATTATATTTTATATCAATATTACAAAAAAGTAAATGCTAAAATTATTTTACCAGTAATATTTAAGTGCTTTTTCTGGACAGCACATAAACATGAATATATTAAGTAACTTCTACTCTTCTGGGCTAAAACTGAGGGCTCATGCGCACACAAAGGCTGCTGCTCCTCATTCCCTTGCTTCACTTTTCGAGGAGAGGAAAAGACATGGTGGAAATAAAACATAAGTTGTCTGGTTTCTTTTGTTTGAATACATTTGTTGGTGTGCAATAGTTTGATGGCATAATGTAGGTGATATTTAGTTGTCAGGGAACAGGGAATGCATATTGTAGCATTCTGCTGTGTTTGTCTGTTTGTCATGTGACTGCAGTGAAGGATTGTGGGTAGGATTCATGTTTGTTGTTAAATCATTTTAGGGAATTGGTTAACATTGTTCTTTCAGCACTTAGTCTATTGTGTTACTCTAATTTGTGTGTTCATTATTTGTTAACTTGTGTTAAACCGTTCAGCAGAAGTAACCATAAGTGAGAGTGGTAGGCCTYGTCATTAATAAGACCTGTGAGTTTCACTGTCTGTGTTGTTCATGAAGAAGAATCCAATAAAGGTTCTTCAAAACCACCACCTGGTGGTGAAGTCTTGAACTACAACATGAGCTACACCTCTCTCTGTAGCTGTGAGGTGTCATGCTACAAGATTGTACTTGACTCACGTGCACTGTTATAAAGAACTTGTAAGATTTACTGGAAAAAATCCTCAGAATAATTTGCACAAATGTTTAAGTAAATTTAAATGCTACAAATTCATGTCATATTTATCATCATTATCTAATAAAAACTATCAAGAATATAGTTAAAGATTTGTGAAGAAATCAGGTAAATTTTTCTTCATTTGATCAAGTATATGTAACAAGATTTAATTGAGCAAATTAAGTAAAATTTCCTTGATTTATTCACGAATCTTTAACTATATTCTTAACAGTTTTTACTAGATAATGATGAGAGTAAATATTACATGAATTTGTAGCATTTAAATTTATTTACCAAACATTAGTGCAAATCGTTTCCTCTAGTAAATCTTACAAGTTATTTTTTACAGTGTAGATTAGTGGCTTTTATTATTGTATCAATCCTTCACCCCCACCTCATTGATATAAAAGTCCGATGTAAAGTGACACAAGCGTTCAGACTGCAGGCGCATTAAAAAACATACGTATCTGATGCAGTACCACATACAGAAAAGACCTGGGTTGGATTTGAAAAACTCAAATTTGTCATGTTAAGACTGTCATGAAAAAATCCTACATGGGTCACATGGGGCAAAAATAAATCTGATATGGGTCACATTTCCCTGCAGAGTGAACGTAGCCTTAGTGTTACACTGCATTTTTTTTTTGCGATAGGTATTAATTTGAGGAAATTCTAGGCCTTTAATTAGTCTGGTTTGATAGTGAGTGTGAATTATCTTCTTCATCCTTTTATAGGGTCAGACAGGCTCCCAGCTGAGTCCTAAAAGGAAGTGGTGCTCCTCCCCAGTGACGCCTGATCTACGGGTCACAGTCAGGGGGGACGGTGATATTTCAGGAGCTTGATGACCGATTGGACTGAAGATCCTGCATTTCCATAAACAGCCGCTCCATATCCATATCTGAAGCCTCTAATATATATATTCACCCAGGGCAGGATTTCTGCCCACTGCCACTGCTGTCCTCCTCACTGACTTCCCATCTCATCGTAGGTGAGACTCCGTTCCCTTTTCTTCCCCTGCCTTCTGTTTGTGTCTCTCATCAGTGTCAAATAAGGGTTTGTAGCATCTGTTAGTCTCGCTGTTGTTGAAAATTTAAAGCGTAAAAATCCAAATTTTATAGAATGTGAACGGAATGTGAGATCCAGGATGGAGGGACACCTGTGTTTAAACTGATTATTAT